AAGGAAGAGAATAAAAAAATTTTAGAGGTGAACGAGAACACAGATACTGTGGCATTTTGCCCACCCAGGGACTCCATTTGCTGGGCTGATCACAACTAAAACACTCAGGGGTCACTCCAGGGGAACTAGGCTAATTGGGCTGCGCGAAATAACCACACAAGAGACAGAAATACCTTTTTCTTTGGGGGTGCTGTGATGGCTCTTCTGACTTAAGGGTCCACAGAAAGAGAGAGAGAACACACACACACACACACACACACACACACACACACACACACATACACGTGCTGACCCCTTTTATTGAGAAGCTATTCAAATGAGGCAAGGGGTCAGGTTTCAAGGGGCTAAGTCTAGCTTCGTGATGTCTGCTGTCAGCAGGTTGATTGACATCTAGGTAGGCCACACCCAAGGGCACAGTAAGAGAAGGGGATACACAAAAGGTGTTTCCATGGAACATTCTATCCCAAACAGGGCAAGTGGTAATATTACAAAGGAACAGGTGAGCATAGCTCCACCCATGGGGCTGTAGGAAGGCATGCCCATACACGAAGACACAGTCACTTGCACCCTAAAGATTGGGGCAATTGCCAGAGTGACCAATAATGCCGCATAGGTCAGAAGGGGAGACAGACACAGTCACGTGCTAGTCAGCCTCCCACCAGACACAACATATCAAAATCTCTGTGACACTACGAAAGCAGTTCTAAGAGGAAAGTTCATTGTATGGAGTTCATTCCTTAAAAGAAGAAAAAGTCAACAAATAAATGACTTAATCTTACATCTCAAAGCCCTAGAAAAAGAACAAAACAACACCAAAAGCAGCAGAAGACAGGAAATAATTAAAATCAGAGCTGAAATCAATGAAATTGAAACAAAAGAAACAATTGAAAAAATTTACAGAACAAAAAGTTGGTTCTTTGAAAAAATAAATAAAATTGACAGACCCTTAGCCACACTAATGAAGAGAAGGAGAGGGAAAACTCAAATTACTAACATATGTGATGAAAAAATAAATACCATGACAGACACTACAGAAATACAGAAGATAATTAGAAATTAATGAAAACTTGTACTCCAATAAAATAGAAAATATCAAAGGCATCGACAAATTTCTAGAGTCATATAATTTGTCCAAATTGAATCAGGATGATATACATGATTAGACAGATCAATTTCAAGTGACGAAATAGAATATGCCATCAGAAGTCTACCAACCAAGAAAACCCCAGGACCAGATAAATATATGACTGAGTTCTACCAGACCTTTAAAGAAGAACTAATACCAATACTCTTCAATTTATTTCAGGAAATAGAAAAGAAGGGAGCACTTCCAAACTCATTCTATGAGGTCAATATCACTCTGATTCCAAAACCAGGCAAAGACATTCAAAAAAGAAAAGTTCAGACCAATATCTCTAATGAACACAGGTACAAAAATTCTCAATAAAATTCTGGAAAATCGAATACAAAAGCATATTAAAAACATCGTGCACCATGATCAATTGGGATTAATCCCAGGGATGCAAGTTTGGCTCACCATAAGGAAATAAAAAATGTAACTCATCACATCAATAGACTTAAAGATAAGAATCATATGATCATCTCAATAGATGCAGAAAAAGTAAAATACAGCCCCCCTTCATGTTCAAAACACTAGAAAAATTAGGGATAACAGGAATATATCTCAACATCACAAAGGCTATCTATGCTAAGTCACAGACCAACATCATTCTAAATGGAGAAAAACTGAAGGCAATTTCTAAAAACTAGAATAAGACAGGGATGCCCTCTTTCACCACTTCTATTTAACATAATTCTTGAAACACTGGCCAGGGCAATTAGACAGATGAAATAAATTTAAGGGATTCACATAGGAAAAGAAGAACTCAAATTGGCACTATTTGCTTATGATATGATTCTATACCTAGAAGACCCTAAAAGTTCCACCAGAAAACTTCTAGAACTAATAAATGAATTAAGCAAAGTAGCAGGATATAAAATCAACACACATAAATCAAAGGCATTTCTGTATATCAGTGACAAATCCTCAGAAAGGAAAACTACCACATTTACAAGAGCCTCAAAAAATAAAATAAAATACTTGGGAATCAACAAAAGAGGTGAAAGATGTATATAATAAAAATTACAGAACCCTAAAGAAAAAAAATCAAAAAAGACCTTAGAAGATGAAAAGATCTACTTTGCTCTTGGATAGGCAGAATTAATATTACCAAAATACCCATACTACCAAAAGCACTATACAGATTTAATGTAATTCTGATTAAAATCCCAAAGACATTCCTCATAGAAATAGAAAAAGCAATCATGAAATTCATCTGGAAAAATAAGAGACCCAGAATAGCTAAAGCAATCCTTAGCAGGAAGAGTGAAGCAGCTGGCATCACTAAACCAGATCTTAAACTATACTACAGAGCAATAATAACAAAAATAGCATGGTATCGGCACCAAAACAGACTGGTAGACCAATGGTACAGAATAGAGGACACAGAGACTAACCAACAAAATTACAATTATCTTATATTAGACAAAGGCGTCAAAAATATGCACTGAAGAAAAGATAGCCTCTTCAACAAATGATGCTGGGAAAACTGGAAAAAAAAAAAAAAAGAAATTAAACCCCTATCTCTCATCATGCACAAAACAACTCAAAATGAATCAAGGACCTAGGAATAAAACCAGAAACCCTGAATCTAACAGTATAAAAAGTAGGCCCTGATCTCCATCATGTGGAATTAGGCCCCAACTTTCTCAATAAAACTCCTTTAGCGTAAGAATTAAAATCAAGAATCAAAAAATGGGATGGACTCAAACTAGAAAGTTTCTTCTCAGCAAAAGAAACAATCTGTGAGGTGAATAGAGAGCCTACATCTTGGGAGCAAATCTTTATCCCTCACACATCAGATAGAGCACTAATCTTTAGGGTATATAAAGAACTCAAAAAGCTAAGCACCACCCCCCCCCCCAAAAAAAAAAAAAAAAAAAAAAAAAAC